ACTCTTCACCCTTCACAGGGAGAAACTCTGCAAGCCCCACAGCTACCGTGATGGGAGCCGCTCCAGGAACAGACCGGGAACTATGAAATCCCTTCATCCGGGGGTTGTCAACCTGTGGTCCGTGGACCCCTGGGTAGGGGGTCTGCAGACTATGTTTAAGGGGTCCATGAAAGACAACTATGATCAAGGAGAAGTATGTGGATATGCACACTTACAATTCAAAGGTGTCCGCACCTCCATTCAAATTTTTTTTTAGGGGTCTGCAAAGAAAAAAAGGGTGAAAACCTCTGCCTTAATCCACTGGTGGACACTCCTTTCTCAGTGCTGGGCACCCAGGATAGGGGGTCTTGGAAGGATCACCAAAAATCAAAGCCGAACCGTGCTCATAATAAACGGTATCATTTGGGAACCAAGAGTTCTAATTTTTTGTAGGTCTTATAAGTAGGGGAGACGCCTAGACTAGAGCGCAGCTTTGGGGAAGTTTTGAAACGCCAGCTGAACTCGGGTCGCGTGCTATCGACACCCTGCATGGACACAAAGGAGTCGAATTGTGGTTCTTAACCTGGTATTATCCGTATCAATGGACCCACCCTGGAGCTCCATGCGAAGGCAAGAGTTGAAGGGTATGAAAAAGCATTACAGGATTTCATCTTGGATGCAGAGGTGGAGTCATACTGAAATACCAGCTTACCACAGCCGAGGAGTTGCTCCTGAAGAAAAATGGAAATCCTTTAGAGGAATGTAAAGCTAGAAGAACCGAGCGTGGGACTTCACACAGGTTTTCTACCATCAGGTTTTACATGAGAGGGAACGCGTCCTGCCTTGCCCCGCTGCGGCAACTTCCCAATGACGGTTTTCTTGCAAGAACAGCTCAGGAACGACTGACCTGAGGCTGAAAGATGCTCTCCCAGGTCATTTGTCCTACCTTTGGCGTCTTAAATGGTAGCTGTACTTTATGATACAAGCAGCTAAATATTTCCCAGAAACTTAGCGATTGCCCTGTCCAATACATCGCACTAAGTGCAATAGGTATAAAGTGCAGGCTGCCGATATAAAGACAAGGATGGAGCAAACGTACTAGTCTTGCCTCGATCAAGAGATAATCTTCTCTCATTTCACTTTCAGAAGCTAGCAGTGCTTCACTTTTGCACGAAGATCGAATACAGCTGGGCGGTTGTGAGCAGGGGTCGTACCATACATTTCACGGCGTTGTTTCTGGCCTGTATTGCTTCAAGCTCCGAGACCGCAGGTCACGTAGAAGCAAACCTCTCTCTCCATTATGGTAGTCGCAAGAGGTCTAACTAGGTGAGCTCCCCGTTTATAGGGAAATGCCGTAGTTTTCCTCTATTCACGAACCTCAAAGCTCATCAACATGCTAAACTGCATCAATATATTTTAAAAGTCAATGCAAAAAGGTCCCGAACATTTTGTTTGAAAGCAGGTTTATGCCAGCTTTAGTCAATTAGGGAGAGATTTAAGCTACGCACAAGTGTCTACATCGGGGGTGGGCAAAATGTGGCCCGGGGGCCAGATGCAGCCCGCCAGGCCATTCAATCCAGCCCACGGGGCCCCTAAAAAATTTAGAAAATGAATACTAATCTGCCCCGGGCTGCCTGTCATGCGGCCCTCGATGGCTTGCCGAAACTCAGTAAGCGCCCTCTGCCCAAAATAATTGCCCACCCCTGGTCTAGACAGCAGTTTGCACCGATTCAACTGGCACAAGTGCATATGCATGCGTGTGAACAAGGCTCTTTTTCAGGGAGTTGTGTTTTTAAAAAAGCTCGCCTTTCACAGGAAAAAAAGAAAACAAGCTTTCCTCTATAGAAACCAATGCATTTTGACTTCTAACTGCCATAGTTATGACTCCAACATCCTTTATTTCTTATGATCTAGCATTTTCTCTTGTATGGGACTAAACTAAAACATCACGCACTTTAAATGCAGGGCCCACGTGGTTTTGCACTGGAAACTAAGCTCCATCTCACTTGTCCTCCTAACAAGCATTTGATATATGGGGCTGCTGAACTACAGCGATGCATACTGCTAGGTGGTTGTATTAAAAGTTACTGCGTAGGTACAGTGGGCTGTGTGTCAAAATGCCCAAATGTGTGGATATAAATATATACAGAGAGAGAACCCAAATGTGTGGATATAAATATATACAGAGAAAAAGCATTTATGTGTGTGTGTGTGTGTGTGTGTGCGCGCGCGCGCGCGCTCGTGTGTGTTCTCTATCTATATTTATATATTATATAATGTGCTCATATATATATATGCTATATATCTATCTATCTATATGAGCAAATGTACATTATATAATATATAAATATTATATCATATATATTATATTATATAATGTACATTTGCTCCAGGAGCAGAAAGCATTTAGGGCCTCCCAAGAGGTCTTCCGAGCGCCTGGGGAATCAGCAAGGAAAGGTGCGCACGCTTGGCACCCACCCTGTCCATCTCTATGCCCTCTTCACCAGCTTTTTACCAGCAGGATTCATAGGCAAGTTTCTGAACCAAAGCCCTACGTGACCAGGAAGCACAGCCACCAGCTTGGTCCAGTGCCACGTGCTCGAGGAGCAGCTCTAGCACTTCCATTACTCACGCTGCTGGAATGACTTACAGAAAGGAAAATAGGTTCGACTCCTACTTCCTACTCCTACACCCTGGAAAACCGGACTTTGCTTCCACCCCCGCCCCATACACACCCCTCTCTCAGCCTTTTACATCTGGGTTATGCTCTGAAGAGCACTGATCACCCTTCGATGACTCCCGAGTCAAGTCAGGGGTGTGCTTGCAAGACTTTGCTGGCGTGGCTAGGCCAACAAAGCACCCCTCGTATAGATGCAGCCCCTTCTGGCAAAATGGCTTTTGCCTCTAGAGCAGCATTTCACTCAGATAAGCTCTCCCAGCCAAGTGCTGCTTTGCCAAACCAAGCCCATTGCCCGAATTTTACTGACGCAGCTTTGTTACCACCGCCAGCCAAACAGCAGCTGCCTGCAGGGCTGGCTGCGAGGACAGCTGTAGGGTCCTGTCCACACTGCAAAGTTGCCCCTAGGAGCCCAATCCAAATCCTTTCCAGGTAACCTAGCACCACCATGCCAATGGCCACTGCAGATGCAATAGTGGTCTCCGTTCTGCTCCTTCCCCACGAGCTACGGTGTAGAAAGCAGGAAAGACGGCTGCGGGCAGATAGGACAGAACACACAAATGAGTCCCAGGGATGATGATTAAGGGGACGTCATTTTGCAGCAGTCGCTTTTCAAGCCATAACAGCACATACTGAGCTAAATTTGTCTAACTTCCAACACTAAAAAAAAAATAAATCCCACTAATATCCTGGCATGTGGACCGGCAAAGAGGAGCAGCCTTGACGTTAAAGCGGTAAGTAATGCGTTGTGTTACCCCATCCATCTGCTTCCATCACAACTGGGCAAGACGGGGAACGAGAGCCCCAGCCCTCCGTGCCTTTGTCTCCGTACATCCCCGACCCCCAAAGTAACTTAACAGGACTTTTGTTCTCAGGAGCATCCTTTCAGGCTCAGTGCAGAGTCTACAAGAGCTATGCCTTCACACTCCGAATCGATGCAGCAAGTTGGTACCTTGTTCAAGCCGAATAAAGAAGTATAATAGAGAGCTAATATTCAGATATAAAGACACACAAGCTTTTTTGACTTATGGGCAGAGGAAAATAGCATCACGACACCAAATCACCCCTTTCCCCTCACTCAGACCGTGGATCTCCGGCACCTCATAAGAGGGCAGCCCAAGTCGGATCAAATCTGCCTCCCAACCCTTCATAAATCCAAGGGTGAGGTGCTATTAATTTCCACTGATAACCCAAGATGGACGTTTTACTGCTGCCTCCACCCCCCCGCATCCCTCCACCTCTCATACCATATTTTTAGCAGCTCTTGAACAAGCCTAGTAAGGAGAAGAAACAAAAATACAGCACTAGTTTCATCTAAAAGTTATCACGCCCCTTGCAAAGCACCTGGGAAGTTGAAAGTTATGATGCAAAACTGGTTCCCTGGGAAAGGGAATCAGTCCTTTACACTGAGGAGCTTTCCATCTGCAAATGATCAGAGAGGTGCTTGTCGAGTATAACAGCTCTACCCATCAAAGGGGAAACACCAAGAGTAAAGGACTTCCTCTGGCTCGCACCGCAAGGCAGTGACAGGCATGTGGGAGCAGCACCCAGCCCAGGAGCCTTCTGGCTCTACTCGCTGACCCTCACTCCCGGGCAGGGAAGGGAAAGCCCAGCCCCGTCCCGTGCACGAACCACTGGGGTGTAGCAAAGCAATCGAATTCAGTTTCCAGATCTGAAACTCTGCGGTTGCTGGAGACACCCCGACTCCACCTGCACTCTCCCCGTTCGGTGAAGTCCATCAGCTCCACAACGCTCAAAATTAGAGCTGCCCCCTTATCAAAGCAAAAAACGGCCGAGACCGAAAAATTGGCTCGGTCGTCTTGTATCGATTCGAGAAACGGCCACGACTGAAAAATTGTCTCGGCTGGCTTGCACCGATTCAAGAAACGGCAGAGATTGATGCAAGCCAGCCGAGCCCATTTTTCAATTCGCGATAGCTGCTCCACGCAGCGTGGTGTCGCAACTCTGCAATGCTCCCCGCCGGGGCAGATGAGGGGTTCGATCCCAGGGAGGTCATCTCTATTAACCCACGTCCCTGCACCTGCCTATTAATGGCTGGATCACAGACCATCGCCGACAAACGCAGCACAGTCTGTCCCAAGTGACCGGCAGGGATGCGGTGCACAGCAAGCCCACCAACGAATGCGTTGCACAGCAAGCACACGAACAGGGGAGGAAGGAGACCGAGTTCTCACTCTAGTTACTCTCGTCCCAGCCAGAAACCTCCCCAGGTCTAGTGATCTGTGCAGGGTACACAATCCTAGCTTTCCACTCCCATGCACACCTGCAATCCTGCCCCGGTTCAGCCCCAGGTTGCTCTGCTCCTCTTCCCTCCATTACTCACCGAATGCAGTTGGACTTACTGGTCTCGAGTAGAGCGTCTGCCCCATGATTAGACTTTTTTTTTTTTTTGGTCGGGAGCTCTCTAAAAAGCAGCCTGCCCGATGCAAGCGCTACAGTCCTTTAAAGTGATAAATCCATGCGTCGGGCTGGGGAGATATCCAGCACGGCACGATCGCAGAGACTGCCAGGACTCAGGAAATGGCATGGGTGTCACTCGATCCACCGTAGCTCCTGTTCTTCCTGTACCCCAGGCCCGGGCACTTGTGATTCTCATAAATAAGCTCCCGTGCCAGC